TTCTTCTTCTTCTTCTTCTTCTAAACATCGATCCAGGCACACCTACCATAGGCGGGGGGATAAGATCCCGTGCTTGCAGTAGGGTCCCCAGAGATTGACGACTCCGATCTTATTTGTGGGGAGCAACACTTGCGCTTTTTTTTAAGTAGTCTGCGTTCTTAACTGTTCCTTTCTCCATTCAGTTGAATAACTTGAATTCGTTTCTTTTTTTTTCTTCTTTTTTCATTTCCGGGTAATGATAGTTTCCTTCCATGTATGTTTGTCTCTGCCAGGTGGCTGGTTGAGCAGCGCTTGGCTCCTTCCCGCCCCGAGGACTTCAAAAGCTTCCTTGGCGATCTTTGGTTTACGGTTTATAACCGCGGTGGTGGTCGTGGATCCTCCTCCGCATTTGAGCACGTCTTTGTGGGAGAGGTCTCTGGCGATGTCGTGAAAGGTTTCCACAATTGGATCCAATTCTACATTCTGGAGAAGAATAAAATGGTTGATTATATGGGATTCATTCTTCCGAGAAGACGAGGCGAGCAACTGGTAAGTGTGTGAGCGACCGACCGACCGTTAGGTATTTGCCAGTTGTTATGAACCTGGCCAATTTCGAGACACATCCATCAGAAAGTACAATGCCGTCAAATTGCAGAAAGAAATGAATGAACTTGAGAGGAGAGAGAGAGGATTAGAAGAAGAAGAAGAAGAAGAAGAAGTAACTTGGTGTGGCTCCCCCCAGTTGGGGACTCCCTGCTGCAGCGCCCACCAGGGTGATGAAGATGGCTGCCACCATAGCCAGGTAAGTACCCCTGGCGCTCCTCCCCCCTCCTCCCTTCTTCCTCCCTCGTGTGCTTCTCCTTCCTCCCCAGCAGCGCTGCTCCCCCATAGCGCTGCTCCAGCCAGCGCTCCACCAGTGTCTCGCCAAACTTGCTTACCTAAAAAGAGGCCGGGCTCTTCGCCCGGCTGGGAGATATAGCGGCCAGCTTTGCCTCTTCGGGCGGTGACTTCCAGGCCGCTCGGACTTCCAAGCAACCGGTACCTCCTCCCTTTCGGAGGGAAACATCATTGCAGACTCTGATATTGCCCCTACAGGCCCTAGACCCAGACTAGTTGGACTGCAATCCCCCTAGACCTATCCTACAACTACTGTCCCTCTAAAAATGCCACTTTTGTCTTCTTCTGCTCGGCCTCCAGTACCCGCACATCTACCCCTTCACGGTGCGGTACCGGCCTACCCGCTACTTGAGTGCTTTTCCTGCTGCAATCCCTCAATGTCACGGCCACAGGTAAATACCGGCCCTGAGGGCCCAATGCACGACCAAGTGCCCTTGCGGGCCACACACACACTCAAGCCACCCAGCACTCAGGCACGGCCACACACACCACACTCAAGCCACCCAGCACTCAGACAGACATGCAGTCCCGCTTGCTACTAAGTCTGTGCGTGCACACACACAGACTTAGTAGCCAGCGGGAAACTCAGCAGGGCATTCAGTCTATGGGCAAAACTCAGAAATCAGCTCATTGTGTTTCAGTCCATGTTTGGACGGGTCATCACACATTGGGGGAATCGTTTTAAAATGTAAATAGAAAGAAAGAATATCCTTAGAAATAAGTTATAATGTCAATTTCAAATTTTTGAGTTAATGTTACTTGCTGTCAATTTGAACGTGTTAGCTGTGCTAGGCCGCCGCCTGTCAAGTCTGAGGCTCCCGCTACCGGTATGCCGCACCTGGCCGAGCCTAGAGCTACCGGTAGCAGGAGAGGCCTCATTCATAAAAACAAAAACAACGAAGAAAAAGCAACAACAACAAAAAAAAAAAAAAGTGAACGGGATTCTACTTTTCCAAAAAAAAAAAAAAAAAAACGAAAAAGTAAAACAGGGGAGAGAGAGAGAGAGAGAGAGAGAGAGAGAGAGAGAGAGAGAGAGAGATTCACAAGAATGCATCTTCCCATGCGCTCAGGGAAAATTCATTCTAACTTTTGACATTTCGAAGCGTGCGGGACGAGGGGGTGGAGAGAGAGAGAGAGAGGCAGTGTGCTGCATGTAGTCCTCGGGCGAACGCGCCGGGATGATATCTCTCTCTCTCTCTCTCTCTCTCTCTCTCTCTCTCTCTCTCTCTCTCTCTCTCTCTCTCTCTCTCTCTCTCTCTGTGAGAAGATTTCTTCTTTTCAAAGTCAAATTTCTTTTGTTTATTCTTTTTGGCTGGGCCAAGTACTGGCCGTTTGAACCACCAGAACCTTTCCCTGCTTGAAAATCAAATATGCGCCGGTATATTGGGAAGGCAAGGCGGATCGAGCCACCATTGATAAACTTCATCGGCGACCCATTTTCCATTTCGGCCTTTTTTTTTCTGCCTGCACTGCCCTGCAGCCAATATATATATATATATCGTCAAATATATATATATATATCGTCATATATATCGTCACAAACAGACATATATATATATCGTCACAAACAGACATATATATCATCACAAATATATATATGGGAAAGGTACTGGTGGTTCAAGTTTTTATGACTTTTTCACGTTGTTTTTTCCCAACTGTTTTGTGCATGTCCCCTTTGTTTCGCATTCTCTGACACGCTTTCGTTTTGTGCATCTGTCCCCTTTTGTTTCGCATTCTCTAACACGCTTTATTTATGTGCATTTGTCCCCTTTTGTTTGGCTTTCCCAACTGTTTCGTGCATCTCTCCCCTTTCCCTGACTGTGTGCAGCCTGACCGCTTCGATCAAGTAATGCAGATCCAGTTCGAATGGGGAGACGATCTGAAGGAGTTCTCCACACTATTTATTGGCGTCAGTCCTGAGTTTGAGCTCGCGCTCTACACGATGTGCTTTCTGTCCGGCATGGCCGAGGTTCAAGTGGACATGGGCGGCTACGATCTAAAAGTCATCAGCCACAGGATGCCCAACGGAAAGCTAGCTGCCTGCTATGCTGACGTCCTGTGATGATCAGGCGAGGCGGGGCACACACAATGTCAGCTGTTTTGTGTGCTATGCCACAAGCATGAACCTACTGGGAAAAGTAGGGCAGGTTCATAACAACTTAGTACCGACATAGCACCAGTCAGAACACGATCGGCCGTGCTGTGCAACAAGCATGGACCTAGTGGTCACACTACTGGCCAGGTTCGTAATAACTGAAGTACAAGCATAGCACCAGTACTAGTGGTCAGGTTCATAATAACTTACTAGTACAAGCATAGCAGTGATAGCACCAGCAGTACGATCATAGCACCAGTTACTATTAACACAGCCCCTGGTCACACTAGTTGGCCAGGTTCTTAACAACTTAGTACCGACACAGCCACCACCCGGAATGCTACCCGCCGACGTGCTATGCAACAACAAGCAGGAACCTACTGGTCACATTCCTGGCCAGGTTCACAGTAACTTAGTGCAAAGTTGCAAACATAGCACAGGTAGTACGAACACAGCAGCCGTAGCACCACCAACACACCACCCCCCACCAGTCCCTCCGAGAACAAGCATGAACCCAGTGCTGACACTGCTGCCCGTGTTCGTAATAACTTGGTACAAAGTACTCCAAACTTAGAACCAGTTGGTCTGACAAGAACCCTTGGTTGGTTTAAACTTTAAACTTACAACCAGTTGGTCTGACAAGAACCCTTAGTTGGTTTAAACTTAGTACTACAGTTATTAGAACCCGTTGATCTGACTAGAACCCTTAGTACTACCAACTTAGTACCCACCCACATAGCAGCACCATCCAGTCGGACCAACAAGCGTCAACCTACCGGTGGTTGCCACACGACTGCCCAGGGTCGTAATAACTTAGTAATACGAACCTGGCGCCGATTGGTTGGACAGAGCCCTTTAATTATTATTATTTTATTAAGTCTGTCTCCTTCACAGAACGAAGGCAGACCTGTCTGGTTTTCATAACAACAGAAGGTTACTT